GAAATAGAGGAAAGAGCTGGGAGGCAAAGGGCATTTATAGAGGTCTAGATAAAGACATGTACATATGCAAATATATTTATATGAGGATGGGGAAATAGACCTATCAAATTCTTGAAGAAGAATAGGACCAAACAAAAATCCTATGGCAAGCAAAATGATCCCTTACCTAAGAGGGAGAAAGGAAGGTATTTACAGGCAAGGAAAAATTTAAGGAATTCATAAAAAAATAAGATTTGGGACAGAGAGACTCAACAACAGACAAACCCAAGAGCACCATACAGAACAACACTCCTTGGAAACACGTACAATGAAAGTAGACCGGAAATAACACCATGGAATTAGAGGAGGAACCAAAGACACCAATAAAACCACAAATATAAAGAAGAGAAAAAAGCCAGCCTCAATAAACTCAAAAACACAGAGAGCCTGCAATTCATTTTCTCCAGTTACAATGTTCTAAAAGTAGAAATCAACAATAGAAAAAAGATCAAGAACATAAAGCCCAGCAGATGGAAACTGAACAGCATATTACTTAAAAAAAAAAACTAGGTCAAATAAGGGATAAAATTAAGACATTCCTTGAAATAAGTGAGAATGATAACACAACATCTCCAAACCAGTGGGACCCAGCAAAAGCAGTTATCAGAGGGCAATTTATAGCAATCAATACACACACGAAAAAAGAGGAGAAATCCATAACACCTTAACACAACAACAACTGTAACAAGAACAACAGCATAGACCAACAACAGTAGTAAAGGAATCAAAGATTTGAGCATAAGTATGTGAGCTGGAAAACAGAAAAACAAGAGAAAAAATAAAAAAGATAAGAAGTTGGTTCTTTGAAAGGATTAACAAAATTGACAAACTTCTGGCAAATTTAACAAAGGGGAAATATGTAAATACTAGAAGTAGAAACAAAAAGGGTGATATCACAATAGATCCAAATGAAATAAAAAGAGTAGCACTACTATCAAAGACTACTCCAACAAGTTTGATAATCTAGAAAAAATGAACAAATACCTATAAATATATCATCTATCCAAATTAACACAGACAGATGAAAACCTCAACAGACCCATACCAAAAGAAGAAAGGAGAAGGGCATCAAAACACTTCCAGCCAAAAAAACACCCCCCAAAACCCAGGGCCAAATGGCTTTATAAGCATACATGTCTTTTTCAGGGACTGGTCTCTCTTGATGTGTGTCCAATGTACTATCCAACTTCCAACGAGATGAGTGAGGTCTTACATCCTCGCTTCTAAGGAGCATTCTAGCTGTACTTCTTCCCAGACATAT